AAGTGGGTGTGAAAAGGGGTCTGATGTACGTTATATATTTTCCCAATATCTCCATGCTGCATTCGTCAAAGTACACACTATCAAACCCGTATTTTTTAGCTGTCTTGAAAATTGTCTGATCAACCATTCCTTCGTTTCTCTTTGCACTTTCAAACATTCGCAAGGTCAGATGCTGGTATGTCATAGGACGGCAGCCTTTTACTTTCAGGAACATGTAAGCGGCTACGAATCGGGTGGCAAACGTGACGTCACCGGTTTTGACTGAAGAAGAACATGCCATACACTTTTCCAACACGGATTCATAACGTTCTACGTGAAATGGTATTACAGATTGAACTTCGGAAAGAGTAGCCCAACTTCTACGCGATTCGAGGGTTTCTATGTCTAATTCGGTTGTCCAATTTGATCTCATGCTCTTCCCTAAGCACTTTCGCGCTCTCTTCACATAAACCTCAGTAACGGCAAAATTTTGAAGCACTGATGCAGGGGGACGGTTAAATTTGCGAAAATCTAGTAAATCTGAAATGCTTGTGACATAGGATATTTGTCCTGATTGTCCAAGACCCCACTTTTCTTTTAGACTGTCCACGAATTTTGTCAACAGTTTTGGAGATCCCAAGGCGTAGTCGATTAAATTAGGGGAAGTTAGGACATCTTCCTCGGCGTCGCCACTCTCGTCGCAGCAAAACTTTACGAACTTTAAAGCTCTCGTGACTGAAATGTCCGATTGTTTAGGAGACTTGCCCCCGCCACAGCTGCTTTGAAGCCACTGCGAAAACGAACGAGCGAATTCATTATCTGTTGAGCAGCCAGGAACTGTTCTGGAAGCTTTTTCGTTAGTTCCATTCGCAGCAGACAGCGAAGTGTCGAAAAGGTCCATCGATACATTGGGCTTCTCGTCGAAATAGTAATACCAACCATGTTTTATTTTCACATGTTTACGACAACCTCTTTGACTTGCAAATCCTGGATGCTCGCAGCCCGTTACTGGACAATGATCTAACCCATCTCTGTCTTTGACCAAATGCAATCGTCTCTGTTTAGTAAACGCACCGTCGACTAACTTCCAATCTACTTTAGATTTTCTTCGTGCAAACATAAAAACTCGACAAAATGCTTAGCGATCAAATTACTTTGCTTTTTATAGTGAACACAACACACACGCATTAGTATGCATATGCGAAGTATTAATCTTATATGTTAAATAAATAGACCCAAGTGCAATATATTATTGTGTTATTTTGCGAAATAAATGGCAAGATTAAAATAGAGGAATGTTGGCTTTAAAGGAACAATAAAACAGAACAATAAAACGGAACAACAAAAGCTAGCAATATGTGCATAACAAATTGTTCCAGTTTGCTAACCTAGTTAGAATATTAATGTTCCGCTTCGCGGAACATTTTGTTCCTAAGCAAAGGAACCATGAAAAGGAACAGATTAAGTGTTCCTAATACAAGTTGTTCCCAATCAGTTCCGCTTTGCGGAACATATTATAAACGGAACAACCAAATTGAAGTAGGAACGATTTGTTCCTTTTTAATTGCTGTTCCGTTTATAAATGGGAACACCCAACATAATTTACATGTATTCCTATTATGGGGTTTAAATATATGCAAAAACCATGGCAAAACAAATCGTTCTTGTCATGATGCAGTAGGTAACTTTAAATGCTTTTTCCTATTGAAATAACATGCTCACACCCTAGTGCTTCTGCCCAATTCAATTGTTTTGTTCCCAAAGCGCTTAATCATAGTAAATTTCTTGTTATTGTGATATTGTAAAAGGAACAATTTTTTGGGATACGCTACACCATCACCATCATAACCACAATCATCACCATCACCATGCTTCTTATATAACCATGCAATCTTTACCATCACCATGCTTTTTATGTTACCTGAATAAATCTAATACAGCACCAACAATATCATCAGCAAGTTCCTTGGGAAGTCTGCCTGTTATTCTACCAACTCTACATAACATGTCAAACAAAGATGAGTCCAAAACTTAGAAGAATATGTCACACAAATGAAATTCATAACTTTCACAGAATTATTACCCTTTCGCTGCTGACCATCTTACAATGGTATCCTTCTCTTTCAAACCTATCAACAGTATCTCTAGAAAGTACGAAAAAGAACAAAAAATTGATTACAATTATTACTAAACTAAATTTGAATTTATTAAGTTTGCTATACGCGTATTGTTTGCTTTAGTTTCCAACGGGCAAGCTATATTTGACGATGTGGATAGGAGATAAATCACAAGGCTGACTGTACTATAAAACACCGTATAGTCGAGCAAGTTGAAGTGATGATGATCAAATTTTCTTGTTCACAGTTTAAGCTGGATTTCCACTCGCAAGAAAAATTTCGACAGCAAAATGTTTCGCTCAATTTCTTTTGAATTGTGAGCGGTGAAGTAGAACTGATTTATCCGGATGGTCACAATTCCAAAGAAATCAAGAGAAATATTTCAACGAGTGAAAATCCACCCTTTCTGTCGAGAAATATTTCAATATTCTGTCATCAACATAAGAAAAGTAACGGTGTTTTTTTTTTCAGAAAAAACTTTCCCGTTCGCACAGAGCTCCTTTAGATGTAGATAAGACAGCAAGACGTTTCATACCAATAATATCTTCGATATCTTCCGGGACATCAAAGTTTTCATCCGATTGCTAAAATAAAATACGTAGTTAACATTTATACTGGATACTAAGGTTTTTATGACATTAACATGTTATCAACACGAAACATTAAATTAACATTTTGTAACATCCTACTACTGTAACATGCTAAAACATTTTAATTACTTTTTCGTTTTCCATGACTTGGATATCTGTTATAGTTTTTTCCTGAAAAAAATTATACTAAAGTTCACTACTTAATTATCTAGTATTTAAAAGATACAGCGTCAGTGATAAAATTTCGAATGAACACATTACCAAAGCAATAAATATTATCGTACTTGTACAGATTTTGCGAGATTATGCGATAGTGATCTGGTTCCCCTCTTATACCTTTAATTAAGTTGATAAAACAGAATGTAAGAGATAAAATCTGAATCTGAAACACATAACAATGGAGAGCCTCGCTTTTTGATAACTTGTCACACATTACCTCCAGGCTGCAAGCCTTGGTTTTAAAAAAGTAAGCCCCAGTCTCTGTAATGGTAAGAAAGACTAAATTAATGGTTTCTTTGAGTTTTAAAAAAAAAGGAGAAATTACACGACACTGACCTGAATTAACTTGACATAAAGTTTTCTTAACAAACTGTTATTAACTGTCAGGATATCACAAGATTCAACTGTCTCACGAACTGTTCTGGCTAAAAACACACATACATTTATAGCTATTATAGAATTAACAATGCCAATGGTTGATTCCAGCTATAGACGAAATTTTGATCTGGACAAGAAGAACGAATCCATTACCACAGCTGGAAAGAGCATCTTAAAATGAGTAAAATTGCAAAGTTTGATTCTTACCGCGCGTATTACAAATATATACAAAATTTGCGAACTTCACAGACACAGGGCTACATTCTCTTCATTTTACAATATTTACCGAATTTCAGATATCATTTTCTCTTTGGCGTACCAGCGTAAAGCTCTTCATTTTAGCATAATTTTACAAATAAAGCACTAAACATACTTCTTAAGTTTGTTTGCCGCTTGAAAAACGTATAAAAAATTTTTGAATGTAGTCAGAGCATGTTACATAAAATATAAAAGATTCTGCTCTTATATAATTACCGTGTGTAATTAAGTCGGCTCTTTTTCCGTGCTTAAAAAGAAGTGCCTAAAATACAAAAGAATAATCCCTGAACATGGAAATTGAACTATTACACAAAAAAACATACCGATAACTAAAATATATAACATTATATAACACATAAGATTCCCGCGAAAAGAAACAATTTCAATTTGACAAATAGTATAATTATAAAATCTTACAAGAGTACTTAAGATTCCCGTCATTTTGTTTGTACCGGCTTGTGTCCTCGCTGAAATAAAAAATGCAATAGATCACACTTAAATCACAGACACTGTGTTTGCATAAGCATACAATAAATATCACATTTTAAGTTCTTTACTTTTTTATACAAACTTTATATACCGTCAATTTTGGAAAGATAGTCTAGG